AGAAACTCTGGTTCTGTTTCAAACCAATTTCACCTCTTAGCCAATGAGAGTGTGACAATTGGAATGTTTTGGTTGGGTGGCTTTTTTCAAGATCTGGTGCATTTATTTGAGAAATATCCACCATATGCCCTAGCCTGATAGTTGTTGGATCAACCATGTCAACTAATGAGGCAAGATTCAACGCCTCTTATATTTTCATGTTTATTTCATTTTCTCTTTTTTTTTTTAAATTTCTTTTTTAACTTTAAAAATTCATATTAAATCCATTTTGTATCCAAAAAATTCACAAAAATACTTTGAATTATTTTGCTTCTGATCAATATTTTTTCACAATTTTATTTTATCATTTGATATTTTTCATTATTTTCTTCATTTTTCTTGCATTTTAATTGGTTTAAAATTACTTTTACCAATTAAAAAATTCTGAAAAAATTTGTGAATACTTCTTGACTTGTTTCTAACTTGTTTAGATTTTATTAGATTTTTGTTGTTCTAATCAAAGAGTGTGTTATATCTAATACTTACTTACTAAGGGAATGCATGAATGCAAGAAAAAATAGAGAGAAAACAAAGGTTTTAAATGGTTATGCTCGCTTAGGCCCTGCAACCCAATGCCTACGTATCCCTTTTAAGGAATAAGAGCATCGTAGTTCTGCTCAAAAGTTTTTGGTTGTTTTGTTTTTTTAGGCGGATAGTGTTACATTCACACTCTAGCATTAGACATAGTGTCGCCCAAACTTTGGATACTTACACGTCATTTGCACGGAATGGAAATAACACATCCTTTTATGAAAAGGTTTTCTTAAAAGAAAAGCCCAGAAGCATCCCGGAGGCAAAAGTTTTGAATTTGTTTAGTCTTTTTTACCTTGAGAAAGGATTTGATGATTTCAACCATATTATAGACTATGATTGAAAGGAAGCACAAGGTTAGGAATGAACCCTCTCATATTTCTCCCAATGCTTAAGGCTCGTGCCACATGGTTACATCATTATTGTTACTCCTTTCGTCCCATATTATAAGAAAATTCTATTTTTCGATTCATTGAATAATTAATGTATATAACTTATATATATATATATAGACCAGATACATTAATTGCTCAATGAATCTAAAAAGGTAAAATTTTCTTATAATATGGGACACAATAGTATGTGTTTTAAACATTTGATTCAAAAAAGGAATGACAAATCTAAGGGAATCTTACTTCCTAATGTTGTCATGCAATGGTGGCCCTAAAGTTAGGATTAACAAAGGGAAAGCTACCTAATGTTAGCATGCATGGCTTAAAAGCCTAATGTCTACCTTGGTTTAAAGATGAAACAAGTGAATGTAAGGGAACATATAAAAACAATACAAGGACAAAACAACAAAATAAAATGGCTTAAGATTCCACCAAATACCTAAGTGTAAAGGTCTAGCAACAAAAATCAAGTAGAATCAAACAAGAATCTAAGATTTTTGCATTCTTCAAGTCATCAATCAATTAGAATGAATGTGTTAAACACAAACACTAAGGTCCCCTAAGAGTCATGCTAAAATTGTTCTACCTTAAGGCATACAAACCAAGTCAAAAGCAATCAACAATAACACAAGCACCCAAGGCTTAAAGTGTCAAGACAACACCAATGCTTAGCAAGAAAAGGTAAAAGGACTTAGGTAAGATGGAAGTCTCTACAAGTCAAAAAGCATATAATTTATATCATGAAGACATACAACAAATTTTAAGCATCAAGTTTACAACCTAAGCATGCTCCTAATCATTAATCTACCTCAACAAAGGCAAGACATGCAAGGAAATTGTTACATCCACTAACAAGCATCATGTAAGAAAGATAAAAAATTTAACAAACTCAACCTAAATAGGTTATCTAAACATGGATTAAGATTCAAAGGTATCTACCTGTTGTACCCCAAAAATTTTCCTCTCTTTTCTCAAGACATTTCTCACAAAGATCTTCAAAAACTCAAGCTTGTACAAGTATTGACTAGGTCAAGCTATCTCCTCCACACTGATGCCTCAAATTAGGGTTTAAGTTTGCACAAGGAAAATTGGGCTTATAATGCTTAATATGGATTTCATGGATCATTATGGACCCTCAAGATTGCTCATGTCAAGTTTCAAGTCTTGAATCACAAAATTGCTCAGTCAATTGATCAGCTGACCTAAAATCAGTTGTATTGGGTAAAAAGTCAACTATGGTCAACCTACAGTCAAACTTCAATATTTTAGACAAATATCAATATCTTAAAGTCATATGCACCAATTGATCAAGTTTGGATCACAATTCCCCATGAAAATTGTTCAAATCACCAAAAGGGAAAATTGTTCAAGTTTGGTCGTTGTATGACTGTTGTGCATTGATGTTTCTGAATATGTTATTGAAGTTTCCCGTTTCCTCATGTTGTGATCATTTCGAGAGTTACTGTATGACTGTCTCGCATGATTAGTGAATCTGTTATTGAAGTTGGTCGTTGGCCGTGCAATGGTTGTTTTGAGTTGTCTGTATAATTGCCTGGTATAACCGATGAATAAGTTAGTAGATTATTATATGTTGATGTGGTCATTTTAGGAAGGTTTATGCGTGACTGTCTTATGCAATTAATGAATTTGTTGATAGGAAATATAATTGCTCGTTGTTGTAGTATTCCGAGTGGTTGGCCAGAATTTATGAGTTGTATTGATGTGGTCATTATGACGTTGTATTGTTCCATGCTATTGGCCGAAATTAGTGGTCGAGGAGGATGCTGGTGGTGTTAGGTGCCGAGCGGAATTTAGGCTCTGAGATGTAACGAAGATTATATGTGTTGGATGTCGAGCGACATTAGGTTGCGAGGCGTGCCGAGGAGCACAATACTGTTGTCGAGCTGCACGAAGTTGCAGGCTGTGTCGAGGAATATGAGTTAGTTATTATTTTGACTTAGTTGTTGTGCATGTCGAGGGGAACGTAGTTTCCCTATCCCTATTGCTCGTGTGTGTTGATTTGGTCATTACGGTGTGTTGTGTAGTTTGTGCCTAATTGAGAATTTACAGGTTGATGAATTATATTGAGATGCCTCTAATTTTGGCAGATATTATGTTGTAGGCTCATGGCCAAAGTTGATTTATATTGACTTGATGTGGAATTATTGTTGATGTTGTAGGCTTATGGCCAACATTGATTTATGCTGAGTTGTTGTTGTTGCTACATCCATGTTGTGTCGCATACATCGCATATTAAGTTGGAGTTAATGCTCGTTAAGTTGGTCTGGATTGGCAAAATATTAAGTTGAATGCTTATGCCTTGTTGATGCCTCTATTTATTGGCAGATTTTTAAGTTACGAGTTCTGCTCCATTGGTACCACATGCATTTGCATAAATACAAGTTGCATTCTGTGTTACATTTTAAGTTGTTGTGTGGTTGATATGATTATGCCTATGTTGTTAAAAAAAATCTGAGAAGTGGTGAATACGTATGAACTGATTCTAATGTTTTATTATCGTACGTTCTATTATATTGTTCAATGTCTCACCCTTTCTGTTTGAATGTTACCCATATGTTGGTAACGTACATGTAATTCAGAGTGAAGACGGTTTATCTTCAGTAGTTCGAGTCGGTGTCATTGCTCTGATACGTAACACTCGGGGGATGAACGCTTGATGTTTTATTGTTGTTATTATTTCAGTTGACTGGACTTTAAGTTGTTGTTCGTTAAATAGTTGTTATTTGAAGTTATTTTAGTTGGATAAAGATGTTATGTTCCTTAAGTTGAATATTTGATTCCGCTGTGTAATTATGAAAGTTGTTGGCTTTAAAAGGTTAATTTATGTTGTTGTTGGTACATCCGAGTTTAAAGTGTTATGTATCTGTGATGAATGACGTTGTTTTAAGTTGAAATTGTAGCATCCTGGTTTGGTTGTTGGAAATTTCATAACTCTGATTTCATATATATTGTCGGGTAGAATTGAGGTGTTACAATCCACGTTTATATACACATCAAGCCCAATAGTATTGGGCGCAAAAGAGTGTATTAGAAAAACCAAGTCTCACATATCGATAATTTAAGTCACACATCGTTTATATCCACGCATCAAGCCTAATAGTGTTAAACGTGAGAGGTGTATTGGAAAAAATCTAAGTCCCACATTGATTAAATATAAAGCTCACAAAGAGTTTATGTAGAGTGACACTCTTACCTTACAAGTTGATTTTAAGATGATTTTGTAAAGATGAGTTATGACAAACTTTAATTTTATCAATATGCGATTTGCAAACTGAACGCAAAAAAGAAAATTATCATTGAAGACAAAGACACCAAACTACAGAGAAGAATAAAACAATATTGTCGGAAGGATATTAACGTCGATTTGAGTGCACAACAACTTCAACGGGTGGGGTGGTGCAAAGAATCTAAAAAATAATTTGTATAATATTATATATTTTTATGTAAAAAAAATTATATATTTTTAAAACCTTCTAATAACAATTAAGTTAAATAACTTTTCATATATTGTTATTTTAAGTCTTTTGCCTATTTGTTAAAATTTGATTTCGATATCAAATTTTTAAAAAATGACTTCAATTTAAAGATATTTTAATTTTTTTTCTTTGGAATTTTCTTTTTAAAATTGTACATTCTTAAAGTGTAATTTAGACTATTTTAACTTTTAATGATATTAAAAAGTAAAAACAAACGAGTTCATAGTAATACCTTAATAATCTAGCTACCCACTTTCTATAACTATATATCTTAATATATAATAATGTCATTCATAAAAAATGAGTGAGAGAGATCTATCATATCAAAACATTCTTTAAATATTTTGTCTTTATTCTGCCTACACTTGAAAATAAAATGCTTATATGTTGCTAATCGTCCCTTTATAATTATAATAATAATATTTCTATTTCTCATTTTTTACTATAAATACCCAAAGTTCGTTTTAAGATTCTCATAAATTAGAATCGTGTCTCTTTCTTCTCTCGAAACACTTATTTTACACACAGAACCCATAAAAAAATGGCTCAAGAAAATGTGAAAAGATCACCTTCTCAAATAAAATACACCATGGTTAAATCCATCATAAGATTACTTGTGTTTTTAGTGTTTCTGGGTTTACTTTGCATTTTCATTATGATGCCTACAGCAACTTTCAGAAAAAAATGGAATCCGAAAATTCGAGCAAAGACTAATTCTACTTATTTTGGTGTTCAAGGTTATACTCTTTTTTTTTTTCCATTCAATTATTGTGTTAATAATTGGTTTCATTAATTTAATTTATATCATATTTTCATGTTGATTTATAATGTTGTAATTTCATTTCAGGTTTTAGGATTCTTATATTCACTTTTCCAGTCATGTTAGTTGCTACTCTCGGATGTGTTTATATCCACATAGCCAAAAAATCAAATGAAATGTAACGTTTTTCTTCTCTTAATCAATAATCAATGGTTTTCTTTTGAACTTTATGCTAATTTAATTTGAATCTAATTAATTTTTGCAAAATCAGTGGCAATGGCAAGAAACATGAATCAACAATATGGAAACGTCCAATGCTTGTAAAAGGTCCTCTTGGGATTGTTTCAATGACAGAAATAACTTTCTTGCTTATGTTCATTGCTCTTCTTGTTTGGACTTTTGCAACTTATTTACATAATGACTTTGTAGCAATTGCATCATCACCAAAGGAAGAAGACGGCCCTAAAGTGTAAGTATTTATTTCTAGATAATCTCCGACTTATAATTACTATCATAAAAATATTTAGTCTTACACTATATATCAATATCAATGTTTTTAATATAAATTTCTCTAACAATTAATTCCAGAGAAGGCTCGATCTATAACTATTAAATTTACACATAGAAACACACACCACACAATCCATACTGTCGGAATTCGAGCCTTAATTTTTTATTATGTTTTTTTATTTTTATTTGCGACAGGTGGCAAGAGAAATTGGAGAGTGTGGGATTAAGGTTAGGACTTGTCGGAAACATATGTTTAGTGTTGTTGTTTTTTCCAGTGGCACGTGGCACGTCCGTGCTACCAATGTTTGGGCTCACTTCTGAGGGTTGCATTAAGTACCATATATGGCTTGGGCACGTGCTCATGATGATTTTCACAGCTCATGGAGTTTGTTATATTATCTATTGGGCATCTACTAATCAAATTTCACAGGTAATTCATTAGCCATTAGTTATAATCAAGATTAATTTATATAATCTATGCTTACGTGTGATGTATAATATGAAAAGTGTGTGTATTGTTTTTCTATAATTTTATTTATTGTTTTGAGTAAAAATAGGTAGGAATAACCATGACCATCTTAAATTTTTAGAAATTTTGTATGGCAAAATAAGAAAAAAAATCAGAAACTTTTAAATCTTCAACCCTTAATTTTGATTTCCTCTTTTTTGTTTCGATTTTGATAACTTTTATTTTTATTAATAAAATTTTAAATAAATGTTTTAGTTATTTATAAAAAAATTATTTTTTTTAATTTATTAAATAAATAATGTATTTGATTTATATATTATCTAAATATATTATTTATTTAATATGTTAAAAAATTAATTTTTATTATAAATAGAATCACTAATAAACAACTAGACTGTTTTTATGTAAGTTTAATTTATAATGAAAGGTAATCAAAATTGAACAGGATATCGAAGAAGTATATAAAATTTTAAGATTTGATTGGGATTGAATTCGGATTGAATTAATTATATATAAATTAATATTTTTATTATATATAAGAATAATAATGCACAAAAGTAATTATATTTTTTGAATAGCAAAATAATTTATTGATAGTTTTTTAGTAAATAATACTTAATAAAATTTTTAAATATTTTTTATAGTTTGTTATGTTTTTAATAGGTTAGATAATTAAGTTCAAAATTTTCATTTTAATATAATAATTATAATAATAATAATAATAATAATAATAATAATAATAATAATAATAATAATAATAATAATAATAATTAATAATAATAATTAATAATCTAATACTCTATCAATTATTGTTTATTTATGATATAGTCTGATCATTTTATATGCGTTGAATTGTATTTTATCGTATTTATTTATTATATATTATTATATAAAATCTACTTTCTTCATCAAATAAATAGAGAATAACAAAAAAAATTAAAATAATTTTTACTTTGATTTTTCTACGATAATGTGTACTAGAGTGATTGGAGAAGGAAAAAAAAATCATACATTATTTTGATTAAAAACCAAAGTCTTTATCATTTTTTTTAAATCAAAACTAAAACTCGGTTCAATCTTAAAAATTGTCTAAGTCGTCGGTTTTCTGATTTTTAATTCGTTTTTGATCGATTTTCCAATTTAAATTCTAATTCTTTGACGTATCGGTTTTCAAATTTAAACAAATCAGTTAAAGTTTTGATTTTCGAATTCAGTCCGATTCAATTTTGATTACCATATTTATAATGTTAGCATGATATATTTTTATTATTAATTATTAATAAGTGTAAATTTTATTGGTTGAATATTAAGAACAAATATTTATTAGTATAATAATTACATGTAATTTAAAATATTAATTATATTTATAAGGGTTACATATTAACTACGGCAAGGTTATTAAAATCAATCTTACTGTAATAGAATCATTATATAGATAGTTTTGTAAAGCGTAAAGCGTGATGAATTAACATTTGTAAACGTATAAATTAGATTTCTCGAATAAAATTACCATGAGTGGAAGTAACTTATGAAAAAAACTGAAAAGATTAATTAGTCTATTCTAAGAGAGAAGCATTCTCTGGTTTATTCTAACTGCATCTCCATGAAATTTGGCTACTAGTTACGTATCGTATATATTATTATGATGTATTAAGGATGAATTAATCATACAAGTCTTAATAATAATATCCTTAAACTATCATTAGTAATAGAATATAGAAAATTAAAAAAAGAGTTATATTTGTACTAAAAAAGAAAAGAAGAAGAGTGTTATCATTAGCTCTAGAATATTAAGTACTCACATCCAAATTATATATAGATTTAAATTAAGACGCAAATTGATTTAAAAAGAAAACATAAAAAAAATTAAAAAATAAATCGAAAAGGGATTGAAATCACTCGATATCAGAACTGATCTCGACCGAATTATATTAATAGTGAAAAACCAATATATATATTATTTAAATACACTAGTTTAAATAAATAGTTTAATTAGAAAATTTTAATATAGGAATAACTGAAATATCTCATTAATATATTATTTTTGTATTTTTTATAATATTTAGTAGTTTATGTTAAAATTTAATATTAATTTTTTTATATAGTATATTATTTTACTGTATATTTATTTATAGTTTTTAATAGAAATATTTTCTACAATTGTAATTTGAATCAGATCTAAAATATGGCCTTTTAAAAATTTGTATTAGGAAATAAGTTTTTGAATGAATTTGGTTAAATTATTGTTATATTTAAAAAAAAAGTGTAATGATTCCTTTTTATTTTAAAGAATTAAAATTTTGTGTGTTGACTAAAAAACTTTTAATCAGGACACAATCTTATGTTTGTGAAAATAATAAATAATTTGGCATTTAATACATTGTAAAATTTAATCATTTTAATTAAAAATATTTATATTTTGTTATAAAAATATAAATTAAAGATAATAATTTGGTACTATACATAACACATTTGTTATATATGTATAATAATGAATGCATTTGAATATTACTTTTGGTAATATATTTAACATGTTTTGAATAACTTCAATCAATGAATATAGTATTAGTAGTTTAAGATTATTAAAAAAAGTTTTAGAAAAAATATTATTTACTTATAATCTTACATTATCCTAAATGAATTTGTTCATTTATAATGATTACATAAATTTTTTAGAATTATTTATTTATTTATTTAATTCATTGCAGATGTTAAAATGGAATAAAGTTGGAGTATCACAAATAGCTGGAGAGATATCTTTGCTTGCTGGTTTGTTTTTATGGGTTGCAACTATTCCAAAAGTTAGAAGAAAATTTTTTGAACTCTTTTTCTACACTCATAATTTATACATTATCTTCATCATCTTCTTCATTTTTCATGTTGGCATTGCTTTTGCCTACATTATGCTTCCTGGTTTCTATCTCTTCATGGTTGATCGTTACCTACGATTCCTCCAATCTAGATGCCAAGTTCGTTTAGTTTCGTCTCGTATTTTGTCTTGTGAAGTCGTTGAACTCAACTTCTCTAAGGGTCATGGTAATTAACATTATCTTTAAGGAATACAACATCGTTTTTTTAATATAACAGACTCACAAACTCAGACTTGATCTAATGAAATAAGATTTGATTTTTTTTGTGTGCAGAGTTGAGTTATAATCCAACAAGTGTGATGTTCATAAATGTTCCAAGCATATCAAAATTGCAATGGCATCCATTTACTATTACTTCTAATAGTAACTTGGAGCAAGATAAGCTAAGTGTTGTAATTAAAAGTGAAGGAACTTGGACACAAAAGCTTTATCAATTGCTCTCCAATCCTTTGCCGATCGATCGCCTTCAAATATCCGTCGAAGGTCCTTATGGACCCACTTCAACAAATTACCTAAGGTCTACATTAAATATACACATAATATAATCGTGATTAATGAATCTTCCGTTGAACATACTTAACTTTATATTTGAACTACATTAACCATCTAATTTCTCGTCGATACTAACATTTGTAACTTTTGTTTATTTTCGATCAGGCATGATACACTTGTGATGATAAGTGGAGGAAGTGGCATAACACCATTTATCTCAATCATTAGAGAGCTAATATATCATAGCACAACATTCAAATGCAAAACACCAAACATTCTCCTAATTTGTTCATTCAAAAACACTTCATCTCTCTCAATGCTAGATTTGATCCTACCAATTTCAAGCACACCACAAGACATATCTAACATGCAACTACAAATTGAGGCTTACATCACAAGAGATAAAGAGTTTAAACCAGATACTCCAATTCATCCTCAAACTTTATGGTTCAAGCCAAATCCAACAGATGCACCAATACGCGCTATATTAGGTCCAAACGGTTGGATCTGGCTTGGTGCTATAATCTCGTCCTCGTTCATCATCTTCCTTATCATAATCGGAATCATTACTCATTACTATATTTTTCCTATTGATCATAACACAAATAAGATATTCTCGTATACTCTAAGGTCATTCCTTCATATGCTAGTAATATGTGTTTCGGTAGCTGTTGTTGCTAGTGTCGCAGTACTTTCGAACAAGAAACAGAATGCTAAAGAAGCTAAACAGATTCAGAACATGGAAGGGTCAACACCAACAGTGTCACCGAATTCAATGATTTATAATGCAGATAGAGAATTGGAAAGCTTTCCTTATCAGTCACTTGTTCAATCTACCAATGTGCACTACGGGGCAAGACCTGACTTGAGTCGTAAGTCATCCATCTCTCAAAAGAATCTGATATATTTCAAATTTGTAATAGGCCGAATACAGTATATACGTAATTTACAACAATCTTCAGTTTCTTTAATTATGGTTCTGAGACCTTTCTGTGAATTGAAATCACTCTTTGTTTTTTACAGGACTTCTATTAGAAATCAAAGGGTCAAGTGTGGGAGTTTTTGCATCAGGACCTAAGCAACTGAGACAAAATGTTGCAACCATTTGTTCATCTGGTTTAGTTGAAAATATGCATTTCGAATCAATCAGTTTTACCTGGTGATTTTACTCGTTCTAATTCAAAGTGTTCAATCAATTTTACCTGGTGATTTTACTCGTTCGAATTCAAAATGTGCAAATCATTTATGGTCAATCTATAAAATAGAAGCTAGAGGTCTCAATTAGCCTTGTGGATTTCATTATAATTGCCTTGATTCAAAAATCTGTGAAATTTTGTTTGTCAACAATTATGTGGCCTTATTGTCTACCATATATCATATGAATGAAATTTTATATTTTGGTTCTCATAAGTATCATTCCTCTCAACAAACTAGTGTATAATAACACCATCGATTATACACATACAATAAGGTTCATAAATAATTTCATGAAAACTTGTGTATAAGTTACATAACATCATTTGCGCGGCACTATATGAAAAAATCAAAGGTACTATAATAAGAGAGCCTAGTGATAATTATTGTACATATCTTCAACATCTTGCTTACTTACAATGTGACAACCGCACCCTACCACTTGCAAAGAATTGCAACAATAAGTTTTCAAGACAAATTCAATTTCACTGCAGTCACCGCCATCACAAAATTTGTCGTGGCATTCATCAATGGTAAGATAGAGAATATAAAGGTGACGGACATACGGTTCTATTGGAGGCAAATACCTGGTTGTGATAAACAGCTTGCCTTCCGGTCCAAACAAGTAACAACTCACTTCATGATTACATATCTTAATTTGATCATCAAAACTTACCAACATGAAACACAAAGTGAATCCCACCCATTTGGTTAGAGGACAATTATGAGGGACTGACATATTTGTAGCTTTAACATATTTTGAAGGTGTGAACCATGATGAAATTTCATACCCTGTGATAAGCATGTCGAATCTCGCTTTTGGTAGAAGGTGTATGAACATGTCACAAAGTCTCTCAAATACTTATATCAGTAGACAAGTTCAAAAAAATCAATTGTTATAATACACTAAAAATTAAAAATATATTAATGATAAATATTCGTTTATGATTCTCTATGAAAACACAGGCGTGCATGAACACAAAAACATTATTTTTACGAGGTTAGGGAAGCAAGGGTGCAAACCTCAAAATATTTCTTCAATACTACATTATTTTTACGAGGTTAGGGAAGCAAGGGTGCAAACCTTAAAATATTTCTTCAATACTACAGGCAAATACGAGTGTCGATGTGTCAGAGATACAAAGAGACTGCATAGCATAGATAGATTGAATTTGGAAGTTTCCAATGAAGCACAATTACTTGCATCCAATACCCTCATACTTGACGGAAATTCTGGAAATTTTGCATTCGGAAAATGATATAACTTTGAGGTTTTCTAGATAAAAAACCGATGTAGGTAGTTCTTCAATGGAAGTTTCAATTGCTTAAAGTTTGGCTAAAGATTTGATTTCCTTTAAACCTTCTGAAAAACTACGGAGTCTTGAGCAGCCAGAGACATTCAAAATCAAAAAGGAAAAGTAAGATTCTTGCAATTTTCTAAATCCAACAGAACAAGTGATACAAGAAATCCAAGTGAAGATGGTAGTTTTTTTATCGCAGTCTCTTTTAAACAAAGCTTAAATAGATTGTAAGCCGTGGTAGCTTATTTTCAAGGAACTCATCTCTATTTTGCATGGAAGAGCTTTGAGCCTTCTGCAGTCTTCTAATATTTCAATTACTTCATCTATGTCCATTCCTTTGAAGAAACAGGCAATATCTAGAAACATATTTTTCTCCATAGATTGTAAGCTGTCGTAGCTTATTTTCAATGTATCATGTATTTTGGAGTGGGGAACATTTCTCATTTGTTCTAAAGCACTATGCCAAACCTCGAGAGTTCTTCCATGAAAATGTGAACCCAATATCTCAAGTACTAATGGAAGGCCTCTTGCATATTTAACCACTTCTTTACACAAACTCAAATACTCTTCTCCTGGTTGATTTTGTTTAAAGGCTCTCAAACAAAAGAGCTTAAGTGCTTCATTTTTCACTAAGCCTTTAGCCTTATAGGTTTCTTTCACTCCATGTGTGGATAACAAGTGTTTATCTCGACTTGTGATGATTATTCTACTCCCTGGACCAAACCATTCTTGTTTCCCCAGCTAAATTCCCCAGTTGGTTAAAAAAATTCACATTACATGTACATTTTTGAAGAATAGCTCAATTTAAAAAGACCTCGAGTCGAATATGGCGTTTGTTTCGGTTTTAAAAATATGATTTTTTTTTCTTTGTGTTTTTGAAAATAGAATTTACAAAATCGTATTTCAAAAAGTCACATTATTGAAGAAAATAGTTAAATATAAACAAATATTATTGAAGACCAAAACATAATTAAAATCAAATTTTTTTCAAAAAGTTATATTTCAAAAATGATTTTTATGAAAATATATTTGAAATAGCTTCAAAATTAAGTTATTTTGTGAAATTTTAATATTAAAAAAAAATCGATAAGAAAATAAAATACTTAAAATAACATTTTAAAAATAATTGTTCAAATTAAATTTTCATTTAAAGTTTTTATAAAAAGGCTTTTTTTTAAATTTCTTTTACACAAAATTATGTAACACTATAATAAGTTTTATGACCAACAGTAGAATAAGAAATATGAGGCCGAAACTCTTGCTCTTAAAATACTATTCTCTCTTTCGTCCAATAATGAATGACTCGTTTATGATAAAATAATGTCCCAAAATAAATGATCTATTTTAATTTTCAATACACTTTTTTAATTTTACTTTTTAATTAATTAAACTTTCATCATTTTCAATACATATTAAAAATACTATAGTAAAAACATTACTCTATTTTTTTATTTTTCTACACTTTACTAAATATATGTGAAATGATAAAATGAATCGTTTACTAAGAGAAAATGGAAAAATAATCAATTTCTTGAAACCACAAAAAATTGATCCGTTCGGATTTACAAAACTATCATCAATTTCTTGAAATCAAGAAACCAATCAATCACATGTAATAATTGATCTATTTGGATGTAGGGGTCTGAATATTGTGAACACTTTTGAAGTAGGGGGTGTGTTCTATAAAAAATCTCTCTTCTCTCCATTAAAATTCCTCCCCTCTCATTTGAACCAAACAGACTTTAATAGATAAACATTTAAGAGCACCAATATTGTCGGGCAAAAGAAGTGGTTTTGCGTTTTCCAATACTATTGTGTCTTGGATAATTACCTTGAAATGAGAATGGCCAGACCCTCAAGAGTGGCTACTGACTACACTTTTTTATTTTTGAGTTATTTTTTATAAAATTAATACTTCCTCATTTTTTATAAGTCACTTTAGAGAAAAAAATTGTATCTAAATATAAGTTGTTTTGCAATACCGAAGTTATTTTTCTATTATATCTTTAGGCTATGTTTGGATATCATGAAATGAACAGAGCGGAATTGAACAGACCAAAATGAAGTCGATCAGAATGAAGATACAATTCTATTGTTTGGAAATTTTAGAAAAGAATAAGACAAATTGTCCATTTCTCCCAAATTAGAGGGGAAGGAATATGGTGGTAAGTGATGAAATATAATGAAATCTATACCACTCCATTTCCCTACACTCCATCTGATTTTAAATAAACCAAACAATAGAATATCATTTTATTTCATCTCATTCTTCTTTGCTCCCTCTGATTTCATCAATCCAAACAAAGCATATGGTATTTATTATCATCTCCTTTCAATTATTTAAATTTATCTTTCTCATACAATTAATGAAGGATAATACTAGTATTGTAAAAAATTTCATAATTTCACTTTCTCATACAACAATGATTATTTTTCTTAATATGTGTGAAAAGTCAAAAACCATTTATAATAAAAACAAAGGGAGTAGTTAGTAGTATACATTGAAATTTTAAAAGCTTCAATTTCATATTAAGTTCTCATTACTCTTTCATATTAAAGTAATGAAATGTGTATTTATACACATAAAGTCAAACTAACAAGTCTACTTTTTAGGAACTATCAAAACACCTAGTAATTAAGTAATATTGGTATTTAATACTCTCTCACAAGCTGAACTATGTATGGAGGGAAGTCCCATATTAGCAAAGAAGGAAGAGAAAGTTGTGGAACAATAAGAGCTTTTATGAGAATGACAACAAATTGAATGGATGATGATATTGTAGTGAGTTTGATCAACCTGAATTCCATTTTTTATCGTATGATGTGACAGTCAATCTCGATATGCTTCTAACGCTCATGGAAGGTGGGATTATGAGCAAGATAAACGGCAGATTGGTTGTCCCAATAGATAAATGTTGGTTTGTTGAGAGTAATTTGAAGATATTTGAAGAGGTAGTGTATGTATTGGATTCACAAGTGGGAGAGGCAAGAGCTCCATATTTAGCTTTCGAGTTGGATCAGAAAATGATTATTTGCTTCTTTGATTTCCATGAAATAAGAGACTTTCTAAGAAATATTATGTATCTAGTTTCGGACCTTCGTCTGGTATCGCAGGTAACTAGAAAGAATTAAATTATAATTTGAAAGATAAAACAATTTGTGAGCAGTTAGTTTTTAAATACTGCAAAATTTTAATGGCTGCCTTGTAGTGAGTTTCAGTCGGATGGGAAACATTGAATTAGTTATTTGAAAACAAAAGATATATCAGGCCGGGTGGTAGTGAAGTCATGGAAGAGGGAAAAACCAGTGCAATATAATTTTAGTAAAGAATTATGAGGTGTATAGGAAGGTTTAGAGGCCAACATCCTTGTGTTGTTTAGTAATTTAAGCGTGTAATTACTTTGACTAAGAAATATACCTGATGGTGATCTAGCCACTTTAAGATGAAGAAAGTATCTAAGGGGACCTAAATCCTTGATAAAGAACTTGTTATGAAGAACGACTTTGATCATGTTGATTTTAGTAATATTATTGTCGGTTAAGACTATGTCATCTACATTAAATAATAAAGCGGTAAAATGGTTATCATGAAATTTTGTAAATAAGGAATAATCAATAGTGGAATAAATATAACCAAGTGATATTAAAGTATAGATAATTTAGATTAC